ACTGTTAGATTCTAACTTCCTCTGTTCGGCGAATAGAGAGTTTTTCCCCTTCCTGTGCAATCACACCCTGAGAGCAAAACCACCTCCGCTCCCACCATCCCTGGTCCGAGGCAACATGCAGCTCTCAATTAAACAGAGCATCGAGCAACCGACTGTGTCTGCAGTGACCAGATATTTCACGCTCTGTGCAATCACACACTGAAAACAAATCACCTATGCCCCCAGCATCCCTAGTCGGAAGGCAATCCACAACTCAAGTAATCGGCAAGGAGCACTGACCGAGTAATTCATGAAGACATCGGCTTGGTTGGTTGCAAAGGGAACCTATCTACAAGTGCCCTGATCCGAGCCTCCATGTTTTCCACATTGATTGCCACTCTTTCAACATTTGTTGCGATGTTTGCTTCCATCTGCATGCACACAATCGATCAAGCAACATTGAAAAAAGCAGCACCACCCAACCAGCAAAAAAGCTGTGCAGTCAGAAGATGCCAAACCAGCTGAACTCAGGGATCAAGGTGAAGTGTACATAACTGTCTGGTGGCTGAATGAGAAACACTTCAAACAACAAAAAAAAAAACAAAAAAAAAAAACAGGAAAACGAAAAGAAACGAAAAGAAACGAAAAGAAATGAAAAGAAAGAAAGAGGCACTCTTTTCTTTTTTAGTACAAACATGGCCTTATGGTCCTGGTTCTGTCCTATGGTCCTGGTTCTGTCCTATGGTCCTGGCTCTGTTCTATTACAGGACAGAACCAAGACCTTAGGACAGAACCCGGTTCTGTTCTATTGTGGGGAGCAGCGGTCCGGTTCCTTTTCCACAGGCAAGTCAGAGATACAATGCGCACTTTGGCCCTTTTGCTATGCCCAGAGGAATCTCCAAACAGCATTGATTGCGCTCATGAAGGAGGATCGACTGTTCGATATGCCCATACAGGTTCTCAAACTCCCCCCCCTTTAAGAAAACCTATCCCCTCCGAAGAAGCATGCCCGAAAAACAGAGTTGCACTACGTCTCTCCGCTTGTAGACTACCGTCTTCACCCGAATAGAACGCCCGGTCATTATCGCTGCGTATGGACTGAAAGTTGGGCCAAATGCAGCTATAATGACCGGGCGTTCTATTCGGGTGAAGACGGTAGCATCCTACGATAACCTGAACCTGCATCGTTTCTGATCGCTCAGAGAAGAGCTTATTTGCTCCCTCTGCCCCCTGATGAGGGCCTGTACCGCCAGAGTTCCGCTCCTCCTTTGCTTCCATGTGCATATCGTCTAGAAGAACCCATGTCGAGGCTAGGGTTGTCAACATGCTTCTTACCGTGACTCCTTTGTTTGGAGATTTAAAATTCCAAATTCCACATCGGCCACCCTCCCTTGCCCCGACATGTCCTGGCTGATATCGCCTGGGCTTTGTCTCTCTCTCTTTTTTTTTTTTTTTTTTTTTTTTT